CTCTCTCTCTATATATATATATATATATATTAAAACTTCTTAATCAATCAATATCTCAATATAAATGTTAAAAATATATTGAAGTAATAACCAAAATATGGTTCAATGAGAAGTTTTCAAACATATTTTTTTTATAAATGAAATTAGAATCCACAAACAAGTATTTTGATTTACATCAATGCATATATTATTTTATTTACATGATGATTAAAAATGCATTATATGTTATATCAATATATATATATATATGTATATATATATATATATATATATATTAAAGGAACTCACATGTAATTTTTTCATAAAGTGAACAAATATATGTAAAATAATATCTTAGATCATAGTTTTTGATGATAAACATAATGCAAAAATTGATTTTTTATATAAATTCTTACAAATTTATAACATTTTTGTGGTTCTCATTTAATTATCATCCCCCCTCAAAAACACACACACACAAATGTGTATATATATATATATATAGATATATATAAACTTTTTAATATAAAATCTAGAAAAACTATTACAATCATTTATATATATATATATATATCAATTTATTTTATTTTTTAAATTTGCATTATATCAATCTTTTATTTTCTCTCTCAATAATTTAAAATTTAGTGATGATAAATAATATTAATTGATCAATGTTTATTAATTTACATTGACTTCGAACTTACAAAATACAACATCTCTCTCGATGTAATATATATATATATATATATATATATATCATCACTATAATAATTAGAATATTGATGATAGTAAATAACATTTATTGATTAGTATTTAAAACATTTATTTATTGATTTGTACTTTAAAATTTGTTAAATGCATGTTTAAGTCCCTAAATACATATCCACGATTTTATAAATGTGTAATCATTACACTTTTTAATTAATTAAAGGGAAAATTGCATGAAAAAGTAACGTATTTTAACTTGATTCCTATTTTGGATAACGTACTTTCAAAACTTCCGTTTTAGTATTTAAGATGTAAAGTTTTAAACATTTAAGTACCCGGGTAACCAGTTGAAACATTAAACGGTTACCATGCTGATGTACCGAGTGATGTGGTATCAACTCAATATTATTTGCTAAAACATTAACCAGATACCATATCACTTGACATATCAACATGATAACCGATTAATGTTTCAACCGGTTACCCAAGTACTTAAATGTCTAAAACTTTACATCTTATGTATCAAAATAAAAGTTTTTAAAATATGTTATCCAAAATAGGAATCAAGTTAAAGTACATTACTTTTTCATGCAATTTGTCATTAACTAAATGACAATTTTACCATTCATAATTGAGAGATTAATGAGTTTTCTATCTCATAAATAAGACTATAATTGAAAAGTAGACATTACTTTTTGGAAGTGAACACTTACTTTGGTAAAAACTAAAATAGAAACATTGACACTTATTTTGAGGCGGATGAAGTATTTGTTTTTGTTATTTGTAGACATAATTCCTCTTCTAACAATGAATTATTATTTATAGTAAGTTATATGTATTAATAATCGGTTAATATCTTATCATATTATTTATACACTAAGTTTCTATTTAACATATTTTTTATACATATAATTAGTTACTGTGCGATTTAGACGTACAATTATTTATTTATTTATTTAATAAAAATCGGTAGAGACATCATCCTCTTTTTAAAAAGAAATAAACTTCATCATCAATCAGACAAACAATGCATAAGTTATCTACACCCCTGTTGTTACTATTACTCATTTTATTTAATTTTACAACTTTATTCTTAAGCAAATCTCTCTCTCTCTCTATATATATATATATATCAAAATTTCACTAATTATATTTTATTAGTTTTTTTATAATTATTTGAATATATTTGTTGACGATTTTATTAACAACTAACATATATTTATATAGACAATCTTCGAAACATTAACCAAAGTACTCATATTACCGTAGAACGCACAGTTCCCACACTAGTTACTATATAAGAGGATATACCAAATAAAATCAAAAGGAATTTAATATGTCTACTCGAATGAGTGTTTATATAAGAGGATAAACCAAACAAAATCAAAACGAACTTTTCAAGGAGGTAAGAAATATACAAACATATCAGTTACATAAAAAAAATACTGATTATTCTTATAAAAACATCTCATTTAAAAAAATGTTTTCGAGTAGATTTGATTCCGTTATGAAGTTTTGTCAATAAAAAGTCTTGAGTAGCATGCAATAATTTGAGGAAAAAGGGTAAATTTTTTACACTATTAATTACTTACCGGGTAAGATTTTAGTATATCAAAACGACATTGTATGCAACAATTCATCCGGTAAGCGCTTACCGTGGTAAGAGTCGTCGCCCTCACTTACCGGGTAAGGCTCATGGTCATTGTCTCGCTCTTACCGGATAAGATTCTTAGTCTTTACCATATTCATCCGGTGAGGTAATATGGTTTGGTAAGCGCGCTTACCCGTGTAAGTATTTGGTAAATGGCCCCTAAGACTACTATATATAATGGCAAGTATACAAAAACGTCATAACCTTAATTCTATTACGAGTAAATTCCACTTTTGATTTATGTGGTTACCGTTCATTATCAAGCTTAGTCTCTATTTCAAGCTACTTATACTTTGATTATTGTGGTTGGCACTACACTTCGATTTTGGTCTACGTGTCTAACGACGGTTAACAAAATCTGTTAACTCAAATGCATTTTGATATTTTTGTAATTTGTTTACTTTTATCTTTAAAAAATAAACTAATTATTATTATATTTAATATTATATATATATATATATACAATATAAACATCATAAACGAACTCTCCCCCTTCCATACGACTGCCCCACCCCCTTTCTTAACAACTCCTTCAACCACCTCTATCTCATATGCGACCAAAACCGTGACCCTTATTGACCCGAATATAAGCGAGGCCCCTCCCATGACCCTCAAACGACGAAATCGTTGTCTTTTGCCCCTATGTGTGTGTGAACACCTGCAACACCTTTCTTTCTTCACACACACTCATCAAACAGAACCACCTCTATGTGTATATGCCAAGTCATATCGTAGATGTGTGTATTCATATTTGATGTGTGTAAAACCACCACTGCTTATCTCGTTTTGTTGTATTGAGTTGAAAAACGAAGACCACAATGGAATACACAAAGAATTCGGGTATGTTCCTTTTCTACTTGATTGTTTTATCTTTGGAGTTTTTCGAGGTTTTCTTTGATGGTGTGTGTGTGCAACATGATATGAGTCACTGACTCGTATCAATTTTAATATGTTGACATGTTTTAAACACCAAAGCTTGTGTGTATGTGTGCTAGAGAAAGGGGAACGGGGCACAGTAAAAGGTGTACATGCAATGGGAATGAGCGCCAAAAATGGTATGTGTGCAAAGAACAATAGGCGCTGGAAATGGTATGTATGCAAGAAGAAAGGGGCGTTGAGAGTGCTATCCGACTATTAAAAGAACCAAGATTTAGGTTGGAGCCCGAAGTTGCAGAAGACTCAAAAAAGGGGACGATCAAGTGACAGAACCAACGAACCCATGTTGACCGACAAAGTCTACAGTTGGGAAAGAAAATGAGTGAGGTGGGTATTCGTAATATAATAGTAGTAGTAATAAGAATAATAATAATTTTGTTTAGGGGTCGTTTACCAAACAATTATCCAGTAAGCGCTTACCAGTAAAATTTAACACTATCATTTACTTACTGGGTAAGATTTTAGTCCACCAAAACGGAATCATATGCAACAATTTACCCGGTAAGCGCTTACCATGGTTAGAGTCGTCGTCCTCGCTTACCGGGTAAGACTCTTGGTCATTGTCTTGCTCTTACCGGGTGAGATCCTTGGTCCTTACCGTATTCATTCGGTAAGGTAATGTGAATTGGTGTTTACTTACCCGAGTAAGCATTTAGTAAACGGTCCTTTAGTTTTTTTAACATAAAATTAAATAAATGAAAAAAAAGCAAAGTGCTTTTGAGTTAACAGGCTTTGTTAATGACCGTTAGTCACATGGACCAAAAGCGAAACAAAATGACAACTAGAGTGACAAAAAATATAATTATTTTAAAATATAAACTAAATCGTGGAAACTACAGGGACTAAAAGTGTAATTTACTCTTTCAGGGTGGAAAAACAATTGGAAAACACATTCATATATGAATTGGAGTGGGGACATTTATGTCATTTGACCTAACAAACAAGACAACAACGCAATACCAATCCCAAGGGCATTTCCGTAATATTCCATCAGGCTTCTCGTGCCTCCTTATAAACGTAAAAATGCAGACAACAATCAGCGGATTCAACATATACTGCTCTCGAAATCACATTCTTCTGCTGTCCCTTCGTCGATTGTCGTTTCCCTGAGGAGTTCCAAAATCTCAGATTCAGTGATCTCCTCCAGGGAACTGTTAATTTTGCTTTCAGTTTCTCCAATGGCTTCCGACAGTTTCACCGACAAAACCGCCGTTTTCAGGAAGCTGAAAGCCAAATCGGAGAATAAGGTTTGGATTTTATTTTGTATGTTAATTGTAGATTTCGTCAGATCTGTCATTTCGTTTCTGTGAATCTTGATTTGAATTGATCTGATTTGGTTTTATTGTTGCTGGTTGTATCAGATGTGTTTTGATTGTAACGCGAGGAATCCAACTTGGGCATCCGTAACCTACGGGATATTTCTCTGTATTGATTGCTCTGCCACCCATCGTAGCCTGGGTGTTCATATCAGCTTCGTTAGGTGATTGCCTTCTCCGTGGTGTTTGTAATGTAAACTCGTTTGATCGATTGATGATCAGGTTTTAGAATGAATTAAGGCTGAAATAACTCAGATTTAACTTGAAAAGACAAAAAATGTCGGTGAATATTAATTGAATTCTACTACACTTTTTTAAGTTATCACTATGAGCATAGCCTACGTTTTTAAGAATTTAAAATTTAACATGGAAAGCTAATTTACACATCGAGTATTTGACATTCAACAGTTGTAGGTTATTGGGAATTCGTCTGCACGTTTATGTAGCAATTCTCACTATACATTGCCTTATATTGAGTGTTTGTTGCTATGTTGGGAAAATGATGAATTAGCCTAAGATCTTTATCATTATTATCGTAATGCCCTGGATTCTTGAATGACATAAGGCTTCCACACTGGAAAGGATATATGGTGCCATAAGTTACATCACTACCGAATTATTTTAGAACTCATTAGTGTAGTGCGCAACCTGCAAGAGAACTAAGAGAGATGCTATGTTTTTGCCAATAAGAATTGATTTTATCCTTAACAGCTGATATACCTTTCATTCTATCCTGATTTGGCTTCTAAGTGTCAGCAGGACTATTTTTTCAGTTGAATGATAAGATTGGTTCAGTAAACTCTTAACCACTATTCAAAACAAGGGGCACTTTGATAGGAAAAAGGTGGTGTTAAAATTGTAAATCAGGAACCCGATTGTTGAACAAAGGGAGTATGACTGCCAAAACTTTGGGAGGTGTAGAAATTAGAACCTTGAAACCTTCCTCTTTCAGGATTCTAAATGCATAACTCTAGGGACAAAATGTCATCCTGTGGTTCTGTTACTGTAGTTAATTCTATTATGCTATGGAAAATGGAATTTAGGAACATTTGTTGGAAGCTACTTATGTGAGACTCTTCTCGACCTTTGTGATGAGTGATGAGTGACAACCATGACTTCACTCCTGGTGATATTCATGGTAACCATGGAAATAACTTTTTATGTACATAAACACCATGAGTGGTACTTGATGATCGATTACTTTTTCACATGAAAAATGAAGTTTATCTGAAGGAGCTGACTGAACCATGCAACTCTAGATGTAGTCATGTAGAAGCACAAGCCTTAGAGAAAGTCAAAAAACCATGCTCCCAAAGTTTTACCATGTGAATTTCTTCACCCAGATGTTCATATCAGAAGCCATTTTGGATCCAGTTGGCAGAGCCTAAAGAGAGAGAGGGCTTGAGAAAATATAGAAATTGCCATTTGTGTTCTGAGTCAAATGGCTTGATACTTGAGTGCCAGGAGCAGCAGATGAAAACAGGACTAAAAACCTGATTTATGTAGCAACTGTTGCTCCATGTTGGCTGGATTGCTCTTTGAAACTATGATTTCTCAAATTCTGCACGAGAAGATGTAGAGCACCATAGTCAAGGTAATAATAGATGACATGTAAGAGATCTGAAGTGCCTTCCATCAATTCGTAAAGTTCAAAATCTGTTGAAATACTTAAATTTAATGTTAAATTGACTACAACATTCCAAAATGGATCCATATTGTAGCATGATAGACGAAGATTCATTAACACCCCAAAAATCATGGAACCCAAAATGCATTGATACAATGTATCATGCCTCTACATCATAACTTCAACAAAGGTGCTGTGGTGGCAATGTAAAGGTTGGTCTTAGGATGCTTTTTGGGTTGCATATCCACCGCGATTGAGTTTCTTCTAGCCAATGCGAGTTGCAATAACACAATGCTGTACTTCTTATATTCGAAGAGCTCTACAATATGTTGCTCCTGTGTCTACAACTAATCAAATGAGGCATCTTGGTCAGTCTCTATTTAAAACATCAATTTTTTACGACAAAGTATCAAGGTAAGAGGATCTATTTCACTTAGAAGTTGTATCTAAGCAGGCCTCTGACAAAGCAGGGTTCATTTTAAACATTCAGTTCCAGGGGTGGGTTCCATAATTAGGCACCTCATCTAAAGCCCCAATCACCAATTTTATTAGCAAGGAACACCACAAAACCTTGCAAATTCGGGTTTATAGCAAGAGAGGGGGAGCGGACGGGGAGGGAGAGGAAGGGATCTTTTGGTGAATGCAGTGATGGCAACATTGGTGGTTGAGATGGTGAATGGAGTGATGCATGTGCTTTGGTGTGTGTTCTTTTTAAGAAATATAGATCTTTGTTTGATAGTGCCCTGTCTGGTTTCGTATCTTCGCTGTTGCATCTTTGGGGTTACCAACCTGAAGACTTCAACATTTATGGACTTGTTCGGCAATGCTTGTATTTATCTTCTTAAAAAATTTGAAGAGAACAATTAAAGAGCAGATCTTATTGTCCTTAATTTTTGTCTCTCCCTATTTTTAAAAATTGTCCGTTTGTCTGTCTCTTCAACTGTAATGGCTATAGGGTGAAAAGCAATGTAGGTGGCCACGTAGCATCCAGATAGGCAATTCCATTATTAGTTATTTCGTATTCCCCCTTTTCTTTTTGTAGGATTTTCCACCGCCTGTCCAGAGTTGAGCCCTGTTTTTTGTACCACTAACTGGTTTATGGATGAGTCTCTTGGAGTAGTCGGTCTTGGGGTGGGTTTACTACTTAGATGCTTTCAGCAGTTATCCGCTCCGCTCTGGCAACTTTACGTAAGGCAGAGTTCGTCGAAGCATATGATTGCCGGGTTGGTTAAATGAGAAAGAAGGACTTCCATAGAAATTGGCCTTCGGTTAATGGAAGTGGTGACATTGTTAGTTTTTAAACTGAAATGTTGGAAATAAAAATCTAAGAACCAACTTGTTACAATCAGAAAACTTTGGAACCAAAAATGGATCCTGCCAATATGTATATTCTAAATTACGATTATTCATTAAAAATGGAAGTAATGTTTATTGCTTGGCTCCTTTAATTTGACTTGATTGAGTTGTCCTTATACACAATGTTCTTGCTTTTATGCCTTCTTTTGCATGTTGTGATTTCACAATTGTTTTTCTGGATATATTGCTTGTAAGGTGTTTTTTGTTCTTTACCCATTGATGCAACTTTTGCAGGTCAACCAATTTGGATTCATGGACGCCAGATCAGTTGAAGATGATGAGCTTTGGGGGCAACAATCGTGCTCAGGTCTTCTTCAAACAGCATGGGTGGACAGATGGAGGGAAAATTGAGGCCAAATACACCTCTAGGGCTGCTGAGTTATATAAACAGTTGCTTTCAAAAGAAGTGGCCAAAAGTTCTGCGGAAGATGCTAACTTGCCATCATCACCTGTTTCTGCCAAGATAGTTGAAACTTTTGATGGACCTTCTGATTTCAAGGTCATTGAAACCCCAAAAGAGAGCTCTTCAGCAAAACCTGATACCAATGGCTCTGCTCCAGTTAAAGCTCCTCCATCAATTCGTACAGCTTCTGTCAAGAAGCCCATTGGTGGAAAAAAGACTGGAAAAACTGGGGGGCTTGGTGCAAGAAAGCTTAGCACCAAGGTAAATCCTACTATCATGTCAACAATCATATTCAAGTAAAATCAGTAGTATTTTTATTTTCATAAATTTATTTTAGTTTCATATTCACCATCTGTACATATCTATAATTTTATAAATTTATGCAGACAAGTGAAAGCCTGTATGATCAAAAGCCTGAAGAACCAGTTGTACAAGTGTCCACCTCAGCAAGTACCATATCATCATCWACTACAACACCTCACATCTCTCGCTTCGAGTATGTTGATAGTTCCCAAGCTGTGGAGACGGGTCCTGGAGGCATGAATACACTTAGTCATGTTGCGCCTCCTAAGTCGTCCAGTTTCTTTGCAGAATATGGAATGGACAGTGGTTTCTCGAAAAAAACTACTACATCCAAAGTCCAGGTAAGCAATACTTACTAAATTTTGCACCAAATGGTTATAAGACGATCACCCAATAGGACTATGTGAGAACCTTGTGTAATAATTGTTAATAGCTTTTACCTTGTGTAGTAATTGTTAATAGCTTTTAGAAAATCAAAATGCTAGCACATTGTGGGTTTGAATCCCACTTTACATAAATTAGGTTGACACTGTAGGATCTTCACTTGCTGCTTTCCCTAATGTCCCTGAGTGGCTTACAAACTTATTCTCATGGCTACCATGGATGTTCACCATTTTGTAGATTTCAATAGCTTCTAATTTTATTATTTTGTACACTGCAAAACGAATCCAATGATCATAGTTTCTTTATGCTTTTGATCAATGTTGATTTTTGTCTGAATATTTTCCGTCTAATATTCTCTATCCTCGCATTTCGCTAATATGTCATTGGGCTTATGCATTTCTATGGTTCCCTGCTGGGATCTAGCCTTATATAATGCATGTTTTCCTGTGGTTTGTGACTCTGTCCAATTGCCAGATTCAGGAAACTGATGAAGCAAGGAAGAAGTTCTCTAATGCTAAATCTATTTCCTCGGCACAATTTTTTGGGGACCAGAACAGAGACGACCTTGATGGTCAAGTCTCCCTGCAAAAGTTTTCAGTACGTATTCCCCTTTAATCATTACATTTTCATACTGGAGATATCATGTGAGCTTTTTTAATTAATGTCTAGCATCTCTCTGGTTTGCTACGGATTGTGATAACTCCTTTCAGACTTTTAATACAAATTTATATGGGTGATGGTCATGGGAATACAATTGTCTATGCAACATCTTCTAGTCAACAACCCAGATCCTCTTAAATCTTTTGTAATTCAGAGTTGTGGCTGAATAAGAATTCAGGGATAAAAGATCAACTATCAGATCTATGAATAATTTAAGTGAACTTTTCTTAAATCCAAGTACAAGGCAATGAAATAAGCTTTGTTATGTGATGATGCTTTGTTCATTTACAACTTGCAAGATATATTGGTTTTTACAAAAAAGGGGGTCAGGAAAGGGACTTCACATATATTTGTTTACATTAAAAAGGGGAGGGGAACTATCTTTATGTTTATCAAGGATAATAAGATGACTTGGCTACTATGTTTTCGGATGACAGCTTCCATCTTTCTTTGAGCTCTTTTTTTGCAAATCAGTATAACAATCCAACAAGCTTTCGCCATATGAATTTCCCAGAACAACATTTTTTTAAACAATACCAAAAGTTAGACACACATAACATTTGTCCTTTCTTTTATAAATTAGGGACACAAGAAATGTTATTTGTTACCAAGGAACACAAAAGGTTAAAATTACATGTTAAGCATACAAAAATAAGTATCTAGCATCTTAATCGCAATTTATGCTACCTTTTTTCCTTAAGGGTTGCTGCTTACTGTTCTTAAAGTGCATGCTTTTAATCAAATTAGCTAATGGCCTGGTGGGTTCGTTTAATACATCATATATTCATATAGTAAATTCTACATGTGATAAACGTAAAAGATATTTCAAATTTTCTCTATCATTTATATTTGTATGCTTACGATGTAAATGTCTTTCTCATGTCTTTTATTTATAAAAGGAAAAGAACAAATATTACATGCATGTAACTTTTGGAATATGTTGGTATGAAGTTACTCGTAGATAGCTAGTTAGATTGTAAAGTTCGACTCAACTTTGGTGAAATTTTTTCAGAATGTCAAGTATTATGTGTTGGATGGAGAGTCAGATGTTACAACTTACAATAGGATATAATCAAGGGCAATTTTGTACTCCCTTCGTCCCACAACAAATGTCCGTATTTCTATTTTAGTTTGTCCAAAAGTAAGTGCCCACTTTCAAAATTAAGTGTCCACTTTCCAATTCTATCCGTAATTATGAGATAAGAAATTCTCTACTTCTTCATTATTAAGGGTAAAATCGTCATGTAGTTAATTAAGAAGTATAATGATTACACATCTCTAAAATTGTCTACGACATTTATTTTGGGAAGGAGGGAGTAGTTATTTTATATTTTTAATTTATAAATACTGAGGTAACGTTTTTCTTTATTCGTATAGACTTGTATAATTAAATTCACACACATATAAACGCTCCACTATATCCAAAGCTTGCTTGTATTCATCAGGTGGTGCAGGCAAGTAGCAATCTGTGTTGAACGCTATACGTTTTTTTAATCTAATTTGGTTTTAAAACATGACGGAAACTTGTCTATTTAATTGGGTCTTGTAGGGCTCTGCAGCTATTTCAAGTGCTGATCTATTTGGTCACGACTCGGATTCTAACCTCGATCTCAGTGCCAGCGACCTCATCAACAGGCTGTCTTTCCAGGTATTCTTGTTCACTCTTAGCCATCTCTTTGAAGAAGGGATTGGTTGATAGGGACTGCTTAGGCCTTACAATTCTTTTTGTTCATAAATTTACTCTAATGCTAAAAATAGACCAGCTTATTTTGATGAGAAACTAACTCCCTTTGTCCCAAGATAAACGTCCACAATGAAAAAGGTAAACAGTTTTTGGAATGTGTAGTTATTACATTTTTTAATTAATAAAATGACAGTTTTACCCTTAATTATACAAAGAGAAATTGTCTTCATCTCATAAATTAAGGGTAGAATGAGAAAGTATATATACATTAACCCTTGAATGTTAAACTAAAATAGTAATGGCAGACATTTATTTTGGGACAGAGGAAGGAACTTACAAGTTATGTAATATTCCTCCGTAATTATTATTGTCTTTAATTAACTAAAGGGGTAATTTTACCTTTAATAATAGAGGGAGTAATGAGTTTCTCCATCTCATTTATAATTAAGGGTAGGATCGGAAAATGTGAACTAACTTTTGAAAGTGGACGCTTACTTTGGGGTAAACTAAAATAGAAACATGCACGCTTATTTTGGGATGAAGGTAGTATAAACCCGACACTCACACCTTCCAAAAATAGAAACTCAAATAGTAAACATTATCTAGAAATCGGTCCTACAACCGGTTTGGTTCCAAAATTGGTCTTAATTGTTTCAGGTTGTAACTGGTCCTCATCCTCACCGCTGAAAACAAGGGCCTCTTTGGGCCTGGCTTATCCTGGCTACATGATCATTTAGTTAAATGACATTAATTTTACTAGAGTAAATTACATTCTTGTCCCTATGGTCTGTTACAAATTGCAACTTTCGTCCCTGTGATTTGCAATTCATTGATATTTTCATCCGGCTAACTTCTACCTTTAAGTATGAGGGATGAAAACCACAATGAACCGTAAACCAAAAGGACGGAAACAGCATCAGTGTAAATCATAAAGACGAAAACAACAAGAAATTGTAAACCATTGGAATGAAAATCGTAAATTTTAAAGTATAGGGACGAAAATAGCAATTTTCAGTATACCAATGTCGGAAAACATAATTCACTCTTTTTTAGCTCTAACCTTCGGACGACCTGCCTATAGATAGTGTTAAACACGCCTATGGTTTGAGGCTATTTAGTTAAATGACCTTAAACGATGACACTGCAAATCTTGAAAAACACTGGGAGGAGGTTAGTTTTGTAAAAGGGACTTTTGTAGAAGGTTATATATACTGAAATGACCCATTTGTCCCTACATAAAGATAAAAACACTAAACTGTTAGTTTGTAAAAAAAAATGACTTTCAGGCACAACAGGATATGTCATCCTTAAAGAATATAGCAGGAGAAACCGGAAAGAAGCTGAGCTCGATAGCGTCGACTTTAATGAACGATTTCCAAGACAGAATCCTGTGATCTGGTTGAAATTACTGATATACCCTTTCCATATAAAAAGATGTTTTATGTGTCGTGTAAAGAGGGCGGAAATTCTCTCGCATTCTATCGTCGTGTTATTTTCATAGCCGGAAAATGGTTTTAATGTTTTGTGATGTGTGTTTTTGGTGGTTTAAAGATTTAGAGGTACAAAGTGTCAGCAGGTGGCAGGTGAGATGGTATGAGGCTAAATTCTGCAGAAACAGGCTATTATATGTATTTACATATCTTTAAGACTATATATCATATGATATTTTTCATTGTTATATGCTGTAAACGAACCGAACGAACACGAACAGAGGCTTATTCATGTTTGTTCGTTTAACTTAACCGAACGAACACGAACGGTAAACGAACGAAAATCTTTGTGTTCGTGTTCATTCGTTTAGAAATCAGATGTGTTCGTGTTCGTTTATGTTCGTGCATTAACATGTTAAACGAACGTAAACGAACGAGCTAAACGAACATCAATAAATATTATTTGAATTCAAAGTAAATAAATACAAGATTGTATATTAAATTTAATATATAAACGAACATAAACGAACGGTAAATGAACGAACGTTCACTAACATAAATGAACAAACAAGACTCTTGTTCATGTTCGTTCATTTAACTAAACGAACAAAAAAATTTGTTCATGTTCGTTCATTTATTAAATAAACGAACTTCCCGCTGAACGGTTCACTGAATGTTCGGTTCGTTTACAGCCCTACCCCCCTCTTTTTAAGAAAAGAAAGAAAATGGAGGAAAAAAAAAACCATGTGGTTTTTAAACTTTTTGGTAGTGTTGGTAAGTAGACTAGACTGGACTAGTTATCTGTATTTTGTTTGGTAAGTTGAACGGAACATGATGAAACTGTTAAAATAATTTTTTATACAATTTTTTGTAATATGTATCATTTATGTTCCTTTACGTTACTTTTTTTTCTTTTGAAAAGTGGCAAGAAAGGGTGGGAAATGAAAATCTTAAAGGAGTTTTGTGATCTTTTAATACCATATACCAACCAAGTTTGCATACTTAATACCATGCTACCAATCGACTGTAATCAATAAGATTGGTATACATGTTGGCTGATTTTGCTTGGTACAAAAATTGACAGCCCTACTGAACCCGAACACATTAGACCCAGTAGAGGGTTTACGCAACTAGAAACAATCGAGATGCATCTTTAGACGGGAATTGGAGCATTTGTGAATATTTTGTTTCAATGATTCAATATTTGGGAAATGTCTACATCTACATTTTTTGAATTATGAACTCAATAATATCCACAAATTGCAAATTGCATACAAATGACATGTATTAGCTTCAATCAATACTTTTAAAACCAACATTTTATGGTACACAACTATACACACATATTCAACATGATTCTTATTCAGTTCCTTTCATCAGGCGACAAATTAATGGAGAGTTGCTCACAGACGATCTCGTACTTTGAAACGCCAAGTTTTCTTGACTCGTTTTATGAAAGTTGTATATCCTTTAAATGCTCATTAATATAAGCTCTAGTTAAAAATAGGAAAAAAAAAAACGATACATACATATTCAATTTACTGCTCTACACTTTCTTTTTAGTGCTTAATTGGGCTTTTTAAGACAGACTTTTTCTGAAGGCCTGCCTCCAAAATTTCGGCCTATCCAGACTAGCCTTCAGGCTTATTAGGCCCGTGTTTTTTGGGACCGAGTTCGAAACAGGGCAAGGCCGGTCTTTGGCTAGAGCGTTTTTGTTCATCTCTAATCTCGATCCTTTCTTGGCTCCTCCTGAATCTTCTCCAATGTTTCTCCAATTTCGTGATTGATCCGGAATATTCTGTATTTCCAAATAACCTCTTAGCAGGATGTGGCATCAGGTTGGGTTCATGCCAAAATTGTTATATATCTTCATTGTCCAATGGGTCTAATATAGCAAACTGAAGCCCGATTTTATGGGCTAGATAACTTGCGTTACCCGCCTTACATACGGGCCAGGCTTGCCATTGGCTAACGACATAAAATATATTTTACATGTAAAAAAACTTAAATAAAATCATAAATTTGGGAGACAACATGTCTGGGCCTATCCATTACTTTTAACAGCCCAACTTAAGGCTGCCCTTCTTTTCGAGGATGGTTGTTCAAGCCCGTTTTTCTAATGATCGGGTCTAAAACGTCATACTGTCCATGAACAACTATTCTTGATACATAATGTTGAAGAACCTCACATAACTTTACAAAGTTGATACAATTTGTTTTGAAAAAATAACACAAAATAACAAAAATATATTAGATAATGTAGAGGAATGTAATGTGTAGCGTTTAAAATGGGAAATGTATATGCTGTTTTTGATGGACTATAATCCTATCCGGTAATAGTGTCAAATATTACCGATAAGCGTTTAGATAAACGACCCCTTAACATCACAAAAGAATCGCTAATAGCATTTGATAACCACGAGTCGAGAGCCATAAGATTTACCTAGTAATTGAGATTTACACGAGTCCGTTTTCTTCACGATGTTACAAGCAAATTATTCGGTATACATATTTTATAGTAAGTAGTCGATTGGATTCCATTCCAATTCTATGTTTGATTTGAAGGAATGCGTAGATTTAAAATCTCGGGATTTTATTGAAGTCCCACAAACATGGAATTTAGAAATTCCATGGGAATAGTGGTATTGCGTAGAATTTGTTTGTAATAATGTCTTAAAATATATATAAAACACTTGTTTTGTAATAATCAATTAATAAAAAGATAATTTAATTACTTTTATATTTTATTTATAATTTGTTTTAATAAATTATTTATAAAAAAAATAAAATTCAATTCTATTCCAAACCCTATAAACCACATACACTAAAAATTCAAAATTCAAATCCTTAAAAAACGTTCCGTCAAACTAAAAGGACCATTTTCTCTCTCATTTTCTTTTTAGATCACTTCTTTTCTCCTTATCTATACTATATTATAAAGTATTTGACAAAAACTCTTAAAAATCATTTTTTATGTTCAAAGTACTGTTTATTGATTCATATTACTTAAAATTCAAGATCACAAATAAATTATACATGAGTACAATTTATTAAAGCTTCATTTTTGAATTTGTGTACCTAACTATAGATAAACATAGTCAAATACGAGATAGACATTTCATTTTGAATATAAAAAATTTAAAATATAATTAGAATAATCATTAGTTATACCAAAATACTTAATTATTATCTTTATAAAAAAAATTACTAAACGATAAATAAACTACTTCGTTATTAAATCTAAATTAAATTATAAATAAAATATTAAAGTAACAAAATTACACAAGAAAACGATCACTTATAAATAGTACATTTAATAATATCATTGATATATATTTTTTTCAATTTTTATGATATTTTTAAATTTATATTTTATTTAAAAATAAAAATAATACTGATTTCTCAAAACCACTAAAAACTGTATTATATCGACCGAGATAAATAATAAAATGAAATATTAAAATTAAAATATATCTTGCTATATCATACGAGCACCCTTCTAATAAATATATTATTAGAAAAGATGAGCGCCTGTTTTTTTATTTAACCGTAGATATTCAGATCAGTTTGCATGCACCACAACTGATTCTATGAAATCTTAAAGATAACAGTCGGAAAAATTATGACCTAAAAAGCATATATTAATCTTTCTAATGTGGTGAAATAATCAAGCAAAAGCCTTTGTACATATGCATTAGCAACTTAGTTTGACCCCCAAAATCAAGATTTTGATGATTACTATAACCAACCTCTCTCTTGCTCATATCAAACCTTTTGTTTTACTTTGCTTTTTAACATTTCCAATAAAATTAGAACCAAACATACCTTTTTTTTTATTAACCTGGATATCCAACCTGTTATGCGAGCCGACTAATCTCAGGGAGATCACCTGTTTTGCAGATAGCCCGAAGACACCGTATTTGAACCTCCGTAGTCACAAGGGGATTTTTATTTCTCCTTGGATTTGAACCTGAGACTTCCTGGTACTTTTGACCTTTGGAGTCAAACTCAAACCAATCAGGCACCACACTTGTGGTTAAAACCAAACGTACCTTTATAAGCTTTAGATCCTCAACCTCAATGCCTTTACTTTCTCCCTACTAACACAAAGGATGATTGCTGCCATTAACATGCAATGGCAAAACCACATACACCGCCGGCGCAGCCGCAACCGTTGCCGCCACGGAGACCACCACCACCACCACCAACACCTGCAACCAACATCAAACAACAAGAGGAGATGTTTGGGTCATGATCTAGGCGGTCCAAGAGGGTCACGAGAACCGTTTGAGCGGAAGCATGTTGTGATAGTAATGGATGCGACGAAAGAGTTTTCGGTTGAAACACTTGAATGGGTGCTAAAGAACATAGCACTTGAGACTTGTTGCACAATTACCCTTTTGGGTGTCAAACCATGGCTAACTTTTGTTTGTAAGTACATGCTTTTCCATCATACCCATTAAATTTAGGGTCACCTCCACTTTTGCGGACCAACTTACACGCACCGACTAATCCCATGGGCGACCATGAATAGCCTGGAGTGCTTTGGCAAAGCCTGGGTTCGAACCCAGGGAAGATAGACTTCCACTACATCCCCTTGAGCCTTAACCAGTACGCCACAACCCAAGTAGTTAAAAAAAGACTTTCCCCTCTGGGGTTGCCTTCCATTTTCCGGCTTTTCTCAACTGTGTTTTCATGTAATACGATAGTATGTTATCTGATAAATCTTTTAACGATCGCAGTTTCTTGCAAGACCGATACAGACATATGGACGATGAACATCGAAGATCTACTGAGTATGAAAGACACCAACGAATGGAAGAACGATCCACGATGTCAAAAGGCTCAAGGACTAGTTGATCTATGCTTAAAATATGGGGTGTGATGTTACAACTTCACTGCTTATAGATTGTTGCTAAAGTTTAGTGCTTTATAAAAATTTGTGGCCCCAACACTGACCCATACAACATAGTTGGTAAGACTAGATTAGATAGACTCGGTTTGGGGACTGGTAGCTAGCATGTTGAGAAGAACTGGGTGCACAAAACCCGACTAACCTGGCCAACCCAACACGAAATAACCCAAGGGGGTCTTCACAGAAACAACCCCTCCACTCTTTTTGTTGGGATTATGTTTGCGTACATCTTACCTTCCCTAGACCCTACTTTCTAGTGGGATTTTTTGGGTCAGTTTGGTTTGGTATGGTTTTAACTCGGAACAACTTGTATGGAACAAGTGATTATGTACAAGTTGCTACCCGCTACCGATGTCTTAGCGCATTTAACAATTACTAATGTAAATGGTATATTAGATAGACTAAAAAAGCCTACTATCGCACGAATACTCAGGTTGCGCCACAGATCGAGAGTGGACAGGGCTTCCCAAAACGATTACTTGTTCTTGAAAGAATCACGAGCGCGTATGCAACTTGGGTTGTTTTCGACAGGTACGTGGATCCGTTTTTTAGCATTTATATATGTAAACACTACAATAAAATTGGCTTTATAGAACCTAGATTAAGCGTCCTAATACAATACTTTATAGAACTTAGGTTTATAGAACCAAACTAAAAAATGTCCCATATAAAAGAGCTACAATAGGTTTACAGGACGCTTTTAGGCGTTTTAACAAGTTTTTTAGTACGCTTTTAGAATAAGGTGTCCTATTAGCTATTTTATAGGACATTTTTTCAAATAGTGTCATATAAAATAGTTAATACAACACTTTATTTTAAAAGTGTTCTAAAGCACTTGTTAAAACGCTCAAAAACGTCCTATAAATTTATTGCAACACTTTTAGATAAGACACTTTTTAATTTGGTTCTTTAAACTTAAGTCCTATAAACACTACAACAAAATTGGGTTATAGGACGCCCCCAATCTCTAAGCGTCCCAATAGACCGCTTTATAAGACTTAATTTATAGGACCAAAATATAAAGCGTCCTATCTAAAAGTGTTGTAATAAGTTTATATGACGCTTTTGGACGTCTTAACAAGTTTTTGAGGACATTTTTAATACAAAGTGTCACATTAGCAGCTTTATAGGACAATTTTGAGAAAGTGTCCTATAAACTCATTTTGTTATAGGACATTTGTTTTTATAAGACAAATTTTCAAATAGTGTCTTATAAAGTTGCTAATGGGACGCTTTATATTAAAAATGTCCTAAAAAACTTATTACGATGTTAAAAAAGGTCATATAAACTTATTACAACGCCTTTAGATATGACACTTTATTTTTTTGGTCCTATAAACTAAGTCCTATAAAGAGGTCTATTAGGATACTTAGAATCTGTGAGTGTCCTATAAACCCGATTCTGTTGTAGTGAAAGTATTCTTTTTAGGACACTTCTACATTTTAAGCGTCCTGTAAAATCAATTTCGTTGTAGGAAAAGTATTCGGAAACAATGAAACATACATGGACGCAATAGGCATAAACAGTTGCACGTTTAAAGTAGCTAACTACGGTTGATGATAAGTTCAGCTGTGTATGCAGAGAGTATGCTCCGAAAAGGAACACAGCTAACGAGTAAAAATGGCACATTAAAAGATCAAGAATGATGATCATCTACACCTATGAACAACCACAAAGACACGTATACGTCCAAAAGTGCTCTATAATCATCAAACATGAACGATATTTAAAGAAGGTATCCCGATAGAAAACAATATAATATCTGCTAACAGTTGTAAAAACATGACTTAATTACAGGCACCACAACAAGAAACACATAGAATACGTTGCCAAGAAAGTGCCTTGCAACATTCTTGTGATGAACAACAACGGAGAAGCGGATATGATTAGAGGCCGTTCAACAACGTTTGAAAGCAATGATGATAGTCCGACATTGTTCACTTCTTCCACCATACCCACCCCGAAGTTGATGCTCTCGGATCAATACAGGCGAATCCTAAACCATGCATAGGAGTGCTTAAAAGATGTGTTATATAATGATCGTATGCAAGTCTACAATAAGGGTCGCTGTCCGGTAAAAGAATTGTGTCGTCATTTACACATACTTTGTTCACATCTTTCACAAGGCACAAGGAAATAGACAAGGAAGGAGAAGCCACAAATAAGAGGTTCTTAAGATTTTTATACCAGTATCATAAGGCTGCTAGGCTGCTTATAGCTCAAAGACATATTGTTACAGCAAATTGTGGGTATTGTTGTATATTTACTCTAAAATGTTTAAGTGTGCCTTTTCTGTAATTAATAAACATGATTAGTTGCAAAAGAGTAGGAACAGCTCAAGCATTTAGTAGCATTTTTTTGGTAACCATGGGTATCCGGCCAACTTACTCTCACCAACTAATCCCCCAACAAAATTGGTCTTATAGGATGGCCAAAAATGTTTAAGCGTCCTAATAAAATACTTTATAGGACTTAAGTATATAGGACCAAACTAAAAAGCGTCTTGTCTAAAAGTGTTACAATAGGTTTATAGGATGCTTTTAGACGTTTTAACAAGTTTTTTAAGACGTTTTTAGAATAAAGAGTCATTTCAGCTATTTTATAGGATACTAAATGAAAAAGTGTCCTATAAACACGTGTCATATAAAAAAATGGGTCTATAGGACACATCTCAAAAGTGTCCTATAAAAATAGCAAATAGGACACTTTATTTTAAAAGCGTTCCAAAAAACTTGTTAAAACGCCTAAAGATTCCTATAAACATATTGTAACATTTTTAGATAGGACTCTTTATAATTTGGTCCTATAAACATATGTTCTATTAAGTATTCTATTAGGACGCTTGAACATTCTAGGTAAAGCCAATTTTGTTGTAGTGGGAGTCATTGGAGTCATTGCAAGTGTACCTCCATGGCCACAAGGGATTTGGAAACACCTGGATTCGAACATGGGGAAGATGAGATTTCCACTATATTCCCCTGAGCCTTAACGAGTGCACCACAACCCAAGTGGTTATTCATTAGCATTTAGCCAATGAAAAGAAAGTATTGAACTTACTCAACTAAACATTAATTCCATAAGTAGCTTTATAAAAGCTGAAAGACATATATCCCATATAAAAAATCACACAAGAAGCATAAGACCTAAATTAACCCATAAGATGTTCAAAACTTGTGAACTGAGTTTCGAGACCATTCTCACTTCTACTTTGTTGCATTCACTAGCTCTTGCTTCTTCGTAGTTGGTTTACTGAACCGGTCGTGTAAACATTGTTGCTTTCAAACGTTGTTGAACGGTCTCTAATCACATGTCTCTCCGTTGTTGTTCATTGCAGGAATGTTGCAAGGCACTTTCTTAGCAACATATTCTAAGTGCTTCTTGTTGTGGTGTCTATAAGTCATGTTTACAATGATGAACAAATAGTATATTGTTTTCTGTCAGGATACCTTCCTTATATATCATTCATATTTGATGATTATAGAGCACCTTTTAATGTATACATGTCTTTGTGGCTGTTCATAGATGTAGATGATCGTCATTCTTGACCTTTTAATGTGCTTATTTTTACTCGTTAGTAATGTTCCTTTTCGGATCATACCCTGTGCATACACGGTTGAACTTATCATCAACCATAGTTAGGTATTTTACATGTCCAACCGTCTATACCTTGGATATAATATGAAAAACAAGACCAGTGACTAAGGATAAAAAATCTCTATGGAATACTGAGCTCTCTTTTTGTCAAAGATTATGCTTGGACTTAATGCATTACATCCATGTATTTTTCGTTGTTGTTTCTGAATACCTTACACATAGAAATACTAAGAAATTAAGTAATTACTAAACAACATAGTAAAGTATATAGGCTAAACATGAAACTGTAAGCAACCTTAGTAATTGGGAAAGCAAAAAAGCACTATACTTGATCAATTGATTACTACCTCAATCTCTAAAAAAGTGTCTATGAAAGCAAAAATGAACATGCTTTTATTGATTATAGATCAATGAGAAAACATTTCAAGTTTAGCAGAAACAAGCATATTCATCAAACACCACAATTCTACAATTTTTAGTAATTCTTTCAGCAATTCAATTATGAAAAAGAAAACACAATCAATTATGTTTGAAACACAAATTAAGAATCATGCCTACCAAATCTGATGCGGGCCTTGGCGTGGTCCGCATGGAGGATTAGGTCTTATTGTTCATGGAGACCCATGGCCGGGATAACAGGGTTGTCGAGCTTAAACGCGCATAACTTTCACTACTGGTCTCCATTTCAGGCCCATAATATGCTGATTCGAAGCTTGGAATGAAGAGTACGCCCTGGGTAGAGACAGGACCCAAAGGGGTCTACGAGATTTTTTAAACCAAAAAAAGTCATTTCTATGTATTAAATTTCTATGGAAGTCAGCTCATCTCTCCATGACCTTCTCTTGAATTCTCATAACTTGCAAAAGGAAGGAAAATCCATGGACCAACCCATCGGCATAGTGAGGCCCCAGTGGGAGGCTCACATGATGGGGGGCTTTTCAAAGCATTTTATTGTTAAGTACAGTCAGGGATTTCACCATGAATCCATTGATCCCAACTTTTTTTACTACCCAGAGCTTCGAAACATGTTTTGGGATAATTTTATGTTCTTGAGCTGTAATCTGGAAGGTGAGTTGTTGAATCAGAGACTTTCATTTTTCATCCAAATTTTGAGTTTACTCTGGATACAATTTGAGCCTAAAATTCGATATTCGATTGAATCAACTAAACTTTAGGCTACATTAAAATCTTAATCCTCAATTCTCTTCAAATTCCCGTACTTAATTCGGTACTTAATCGTCTAAGAAAACTTCTTGAAGATGAAATTATTTTGACGGATCTAATTACACGAGGACATTAAAAAACGAAGAATCATGGAATCGATTAGCATACAAAAAGAGCTAGGGTTTGCAAATGAGAGAAAATTAAGTAATTACTTGTTTATGGAAGATGAAATCGACGACGATCAACCTGCCGATGATTTGCACCGGATTGTGTAGCCGGAGCCCGGATCTGTCATCAAACTCCATTTTCTGTATCTCCACCATAAAAATGAAATGAAATAAGTTTTAGAAAATTTGGTTTCAAGATAAAAAATAAAAAATAAAATTAATTTATATTTTAGTTGAATTCTATTCATACTCCTTCCTAAATATGATTAATACATGACCGATTTATTACAGGACACAGTTTGTGGTAGGGGTATTTATGGATTGGGTTGATCGAGTTGAAGACATTTGAACAATCCAACCAAATTCTTGCGGTTTGAAAAATCTTAACCTAACCCACCCCGTACGGGTTGGTCGGGTTAGTCGTGTTGGTCGGGTTGATACTTTGGTACATTAAAATATTTTTCTAACTTATAATATGTTATTTCTCTACTCATACTTTCTTTTTCATCATCAATAATTTGATACAACTTATCCATACTTCTTTCGTATATCATATTCAGTTAATTTTCTCAATTACATATATATGTTCACGGTTATTGAACATATATATGAATGAGTTATATAAAAATATGAATAGATTGAAAATATGTGTATATGAAGAACATACATGATAATGTAATTGTCTAATGTACATATTAATAAAAATTCAACAATCATATTAAATCCAAGAAATAAAAGAATATCGAGTTCATCGGGTTGGGTTGGGGTCAAATAATAGTAACCCGATATCAACCCAATACCTACAGTTATTTCGTGTTCGGTTGGGTTGATCGGTTTGATCGGGTTTTTGAGCACCCCTAGTTTGTGGTATGTGAAGAGATATGAATAAGCCGGTGATGGATCTAGAAACTTCCGTGATTGAGGCTTAGGGATATAAAAAATCCAGGAACTGAATAACTCATTCAAACCAAAACGGTTTTGAGGTATTCGGTTTGCGGGTAAAACAGTTCAGTTAATTAAATAAAGTAAATTTCGATTTAGGTTTCGATTTTTTTATCATATCAAGTTAACCTAATAGAAAATTATACTGATATTTAATCTGTATAAGTTCCTTCTAGATGAATTATTTTGAGCATATATAAAATCAAACATTAGGTGAATTAATTTATCTTTCAACTAGAAGAACAATAAATTGAGATATATTTAACAAAATTATCAACCAACATTATTATTGTAGCATAATTGCAAGAACTAGCGGTAATAATATGTGGGAGAACGACCGTCAAGCGAGAGAGCAGGGATTTCGTCAAAGCGGACTGTACTATTAGGGGAATTGCCGAAAATAATTGGGGGAACTAAGAATATGAAAGTAAAAAAAATTACTTAGATTATTATAAAAAACTGACTTTTGAGTTGCGGCCTTTTCCCTTCACACATTTCTTAATGTAAGGTGTTGTTTGACAGTTGCTGAATGGTTTGGTGCAGAATGATTAACTGGTCAGAATGATTAAGAGACTCTCATGATATAATGCAAAATAAAATATAATTATTCGGTAATTGTTTACAATTGAATTAAGGCGCTGAATGATATATGAGATTATTAAGATACAAAATCATTCAGAGAGTTTTAAAACCAGTAAGATGAACACTTTTCAAAATACACATTTCGCTAAAGGATTTCGTCATATGAACTAGGAGTGCTCATGAGTTGGGTTGATCGGGTTGAAGACATTTGAACAACCAAACCCAATGCTTGTGGTTTGAAAAATCTTAACCCAACCCAACCCGAACCAAAGTGCAATTCAACCCAACCCAACCTGTACGGGTTGGTCGGGTTGATACTTTGGTACATTAAAATATTCTTCTAACCTTGAATATGTTATTTCTTTACTCATACTTCCTTTTTCATCATCAATCATTTGATACAACTTATCCATACTTCTTACGTATATCACATTCAATTAATTTTCTTAATTACATATATATGTTAACAGTTATTGAACATATATACGAATGAATTATATAAAGATGTGAATATATTGAAAATATGTGTATATGAATAACATACATGATAGTGTAATTGTCTAATGTACATATTAATATAAATTCAACAATCATATTAAATCTAAGAAATAAAAGGATATCGGGTTCAACGGGTTGGGTTCAAATAATATTAATCCAATATCAACAAAATACCTACGGTTTGACAATTTTACAACTCGATTAAACATCTGGTTGCTTCGAGTTGAATTATTTTGTATTGGGTTGAGTTTGGTTGATCAAGTTTTTGAACACCCCTAATATGAACGAATTGCTTACATGGTCCCACATTAAAATTACACAAAATTGATTTTAATTTTGTTTTATTAATTGAAAAAAGGCAAACAGCAGAATATTAAATGATTATCGATTTTATTTTTTCAAACAAAAATGACATAAAACATGATAGAATTGGGCTTCATGGAACATAGCCACCGTGACCGCCACCGGCCCCATTTCCACCACCACCACCATATCCACCTCCATGTTCACCACCACCACCACCACCTCCTCCACCTCCCGAACCACCACCTCCACCACCACCATATGCCCCACCTGCACCACCACCTTCTCCACCACCACTTCCATATCCGCCAGCATGATCCCCTGATCCTCCACCGCCTCCACCACCGTGACCACCTCCGCCACCGTATCCTCCACCAGCCCCATACCCACCACCGCTACCACCGCCTGCACCTCCACCATAACCTCCTGCATGCTGTCCACCACCCCCATAGTATCCACCACTACCCCCTCCACTCCCTCCACCACCTCCTCCTCCATACCCACCACCATGTTCTCCAGACCCACCACCACCATACCCTGAACCACCTCCTGTACCACCACCACCACCACTACCTCCACACCCACCACCGTGCTCGTATCCACCTCCACCACCTTGTCCTCCACCGGCACCACCACCACCACCTTGTCCTCCACCGGCACCACCACCACCACCACCACCTTGTCCTCCTCCATGTTCACCTCCTCCTCCATAACCACCCCCACTCCCACTCCCACTCCCACCCCCACCTCCATATGCGCCATATCCAGGCACTACATGTTCACCTCCACCACCACCATAACCACCACCACTCCCACCCCCACCCCCACCTCCATATGCGCCATATCCAGGCATTACATGTTCACCTCCACCACCACCACCATATCCTCCTCCATGTTCACCTCCTCCTCCATAACCACCACCACTCCCACTCCCACCCCCACCTCCATATGCGCCATATCCAGGCATTACATGTTCACCTCCACCACCACCACCACCGGCAGCACCTTCATAAGTGAAAAGTGATCTGGTGGCGGAGGAAATGCCAATGCCAATGCCTAAAATCACAAAAAAGACTACACCAAGAACAAGTTTCTGAGTACCCATTTTAGAAAAGTTGAGTAACAACTGAGAAGTTGAAATGCAATTTATAGGCTAAAACCATGAGTCTGCACACGCAAAAAGTGAAGTTAGGTGCGACCAAATTTGGTACAGACACCACGCACTCCACCACACTCATTCACTCTCAAGCTATAGAGACCGCACCCTAACTAACTAGCCATTACCCATGGTGCATGTTTTCTGTCACCCACATCTCATCATCATCATTTTCTTTGTAAAAAACCAAAACTAACCCAATAAATTATACCTTAAAGATAAAAGTTTGAGTAAAAGTATCTATTTACCTGGTAAGTGTTTATTGGTAAAATTTAATATTATTATTTATTTATCGGGTAAAATTTTAGTCTACCAAAACGACATCGTATGCAATAATTTATCCAGTAAGCACTTACCGTGGTAAGAGTCCTCACCCCCACTTACCGGGTAAGACTCATGGTTCTTGTCTCGCTCTTACCGGGTAAGATTCTTGGTCCTTACCATATTCATCTAGTGAGTTAATGTGACTTAATAAGCGCTTATCCGGGTAAGTGTTTAGTAAACGACCTCTAAGATGCATATATAATTTTGAGGAAATTGATCAAAAGTTATTTCGAACTCCCCAATTCATGTTATAGCAGTTTTCTACTTAATTGATTAAAAATAGCCATGATTACACAAGTAACAGTTTGACAACTTAAAAAATCTTGTTTCTATAAACTATTTATAATACGGCAATTTAGCAAGTTGCTAAAGTGGTACTTAAGAAATGCTGACGTGGCAAGTAGCATCTTAACAAGTTACGTAAGTGACATTTTCACACCAACATTTTCACAAGTTATTAAAGTGTTACTTGTGAAATCTTGACTATTTCGTCAATTATGTAGAAAAGCTGCTACGAAGTGAATCGGACAAGTAAAAATGATTGTTTTGGATAATTTCCCTGTATAAAAGGCTCAAAGTATAAATCAAATCTAAAAGTATAATAGGTTTATAGGATGATTTTAGAAGTTTTAACAAGTATTTTAGAACGTTTTTAATATAAAATGTCGTATTAGTTATTTAATAAAACACTATTTGACCTATAAAAAAGATGGGTTTATAGGGTACTTCTCAAAATTGTCCTATAAAATAGTTAATACAACACTTTACGTTAAAAACATTCTAAAACACTTGTTAAAATACCTAAAAAAACATCTTATAAGCCTATTGTAACAACTTTAAAGAGGACGCTTCATTGTTTGGTTTTATAAACTTAATCTTATAAATATGTTATTAAGGGGCTGCTTAGTAGTTGTTGAGTGATTTGGTGCAAAATGATTAAGTGATCATGATTATTAAGAGGTTCTCATGATATAATGCAAATGAAATATAATTGTTTACAATGAAATTAAGAAGCTGAATGGTTAAGGGAGACCCAAGACACAAAATCATTCAGATGGTTTTAAAATCATTAAGAGACAGATTTTTTTTTTTGACAAACAAGATTCACTTCTTAACGATTCAAAGACTACATCTTAATAAAATTATTAGAAGCCTGACACGTTTAAACGTAATGTAAATCCAATTTTCTTAAGTTATTTACATGTATCACTCCTTATTTTACAAAATAGATATTTATCTTTTTGGAAAAAGTCAAAAGCAGATATGCATGTACATACTAAAGTTAATATTATAATAAATAAATAAATAAATAATATTAAAGTCTAAGAACTAACATAGAACAAAGACACGTGTAAGTTCTTGGTTGCTTTTGGTAATTGGTATTGATGGAAGCAAAAGTGTAAATGAAAGACAGCTAAATACCATTACATTGTGGGCATTATATATCCACATGTCATACACTCGTTATCGAACAGGGATGCTATGTCAACTTTACTCAAGGGTCGTTTATTAAACACTTACCTGGTAAATTGCTTAACAAGTAATTTTTTTTATCCGGTAAGAACAATGATAAAGATGGAGAGTCTTACTCTGTAAGTGATTGTAACAAGTCTTACTCGGTAAGTGATTGTAACGAGTCTTACTCGGTAAGTGCTTACCAGGTAAATTGTTGCATATGCTACCATTTTAATGTGCTACAATTTTACACAGTAAAATAAATTATAGTATTGACTCCCAACGGTAAGTGCTTACCGAGTAAGTATTTAGGTAAACGGCCTCTTAGGCTAGAGATGGCCAAATCGGCCCGGCCCGGGACCGCCGGAGGACCGGGCCCGGGACCGGTAAGGACCGGTTATGGGACCGAAAACCGGGACCGGTTAAGGTTTTTGGTAGTTTCGTGGAACCGGGACCGACCGGGACCCGTTATGGGACCGACTATGGACCGGCCCGGCCCGGCCCGGCCCGAAAATTCAAATAATTTTATAAATAAATGTATTTTTAAATAATTTTATAATGTATTTTTATAAGAAAACGTAATTTTAATTATATTAAAACGCATTTTTAAAGTGTATTTGAGTGACCCAATTGTAAATTTTATAATGTATTAAAAATATATATCATTAAAAAAATAAAAATAAAAATCTTATTTTTTTAATGCAAGGACCGGGACCGGGACCGACGGCCCATAACTGGTTATGAAGTACCTTGACCGGTCATATCATTTTCGGTTGGGACCGGGACCGAGACTGGTTACTCCGGGACCGGTTATGGCCGGTTATGAGAAAGATGAGGACCGATTGGGACCGGCCCGGGACCGGTTTTTGGCCATCTCTATCTTAGGCTATAAAAATCATAAAAAAAACCCAATCTGAGTCGGGCCTTAAAGCCTGATCAGCCCGATTTTTTTGGGTTGGCCAGCCCGAAAAAATTGGAAAAGCCCGCTTAAGCTCAAAAAAGACCAAAAAACCCTTCTGAAAAAGCCTGATTGAACCCTTTTTAAACCCTAAAAGCCCAAAAGCCCAGCCTGACCGAACCCTTTTTTGTTGACTAAAACGGGCTAAAAAGGACAGGGCGCAGGCCCCAAAAAGCCCGTGCCTTGTGCATCTAATGGGCCATTATACATGTTCAAAATCATTTATCTACCACCAAACCACACCAGTAATCCTTAAATGGTATTATATCAGCAAAATTCAAGGAGCATTGTGTAAATACAATCTTTCATCATCAAACTATGCATGTTGTATGTGACATACTGTTGCTAGAGCTTGAAGTTGAGTTAGTCTTCAAAGCCAGCTTAATCGGTAGACCTAGATGCAGACCATCCCAACTCCTTGGCCCAAATCCAGCCCATCCAACATAAGTCTAGCTTAGTCACCAGAGTAGTGACTAGACGTAGACGTTAACCAGCCCAATTTGTTAGTCCGCAAGGCCCGGGTCCAAGCCCAGTATTGTTATAAACATAGATGTAAACTATCAACTTGCTTGGCCCATACCAAACAAGACCTAGATGCATACCAGCCCAACTCCCAGGCCCAGGTCTGTGAAAGGATGTAGAAGTGAGTGGAATAGAGAGTGGGAGACAAAAATAGATTTTCCTCCACTTAATAATTGATTACAAGTTGGGTAATAACAGCCACATAATTAAAAAGAAAGGATAATTGTGAGAAAACGATATTCAAGAAAAAACCCTAAAAAAATAAAAATTGAGGAACATCTTGTGTACATATGGATACAAGTAATCGAAGATGTTTTCTAGTCTCTATGTATGCGTGCATACCAAAAAAATTACTTGCACGCACATGTACATACCGTACAAATGAAACGGTTACTAAGTAGTTTCTAAAATTTTCATTTTTTTGTGGTTTTCCCAACACGTGACCCAATTGTGAGATTATATTCACAAGAAAAAATCTCAGTAAGAATCTCTTCACTTATAAAGCCAAGTGATAACAAATACCATAACAGACACAATAGAGCAACTTCAAGAAAGTAGATTTGTTGGCCTAAGTATGGAATCTCAGAGAGTGAACCTTCCTCCTCCCAGGTCTTACTCATTCATTTAAGCTTTTCAAACTAGTCTTCTAAGTCTCTAATCCTACAAGATAGTTCTCACTAATTTCTTGTTTTGAGTTTCAATTCTTAGTCATCATGTGATCATCAGAAAGATCCCAATCTAAGCAGCTGTTTGGTTGGTTTTCTATTAAATCTTGTATGAATAAAGTTGTCTATGTGGATTTATTTGTCTGTATAGATAGGGAAGATTTTTGTTTGGTAGGATTTTTTCTTAGATGGAAAGAGCATGTTTTTAATTAGGAGGGTCAGATTTAGAAAAAACTTGACATTCTGCATAAAGCACCCTCCATAAGCTTACTGAATAAGCCACTCTCTATATAATTAAGCCACTATCAAATAGTCATGTATAGCTGACCGTACAAGGTGTGAGCCCAGCTCATTAAGTTGCTAACAAAGAGGCTTTACTAATGTCGTTTCACATGTACAGCACTGATAACAAGCCAAACTACAAGTGCCCAGAAGGATGGAAATGCACCATCACAAAAACTGACCCATCTAAGATCGGTAAACCATTTGCAAAATGCGATGGCAGTGGGTGCACCTGTGTCACGTGCGTTCTCCAATGCTCATAGTTTGTTTATTTACTATGTGAACTACAGTAACACAATATACGGTTTTGCAGTGAGAAAACTGTGCAACAGACAACGGAGAGCTCTGAGGCAGCAAAAGTATTCTGCGAGTGTGGTGAAGGTTGGTCTTGTGTTGTATCCAAGATTGAGGGCCCTGAAGCCGGCAAGACCTACTTTGAGTGTGGTGAAGGTTGCATTTGTGTGATAGATGAAACGAACACCGTGAAGGTTGTATGTGCGTGAGTTACACCACGATTGTAATGAGGGTTGCAAAAGGAAGAAAGAAAAATTCACCACAAAAAGGAAACAAGCTTACTTGTGTCTGCTATAAATTTCTTCCAAATATTACGAAGTTTGTGCCTTACTTCTATGTGTGTCCCCTGTAACAAGTATGTAAAGTTTGTGTTTAGCTGCTATTCTATGAATCCTACAAGTATATAGTGTCAGACTGTAATTTCCTGGTGCGTATACGTAATATATTATGTATAAATAAATGGCTCTTGTCAATTTCTCAATTATGCATTTGCATATATTTTAAGGGAACACGTAGATTCTGAAGATGGGTTAGCGAAAAAAAAAAAGAAGCCAAATAGACACACTGGTATCTTTGAAGTTAATCTGTAGTCAGGCTTCGAACCAGAGAGCATGACACCATCTAGATTTTTAATATGAAACCTATGTTGCTTCTACATCGGAGTTCTAGCAGGCGATTTTGTTGACAGAAACACGAATCCAACTAGCTTAGTTTCAAAGTTTCTCACCCTGAAACATATGCTTACACTGTAATCCGGTTGCCAGTCTTATAAGATTCACAGAATAATGTCATCAATGCAGAAGCTTGAATGGAGATTTATTCAGACGACATAACAACTTTAGTTGTCCCAGAAACTGTAAAAATGACATTAAAAATATAGCAGGTATAACCGTATAAGCACTCTTTTCTGTGAATAACTCATTTTCAAGCATAGAAATGCAAGCAATTGCTTCTGACACACTGAAACGGTATGAAAGAAAATTACGCTATATGTCATGTAAGCTAAGCAAGTAGAAACAAGATCAAATCTTACAGCCTTTGCCCTTATTTGGTGCACTTACATACACTTGCAAGTTGAGCATCAATTGTCGCATTGAAATGAAGCAAAAATTAGCAAAAAGAGAGAATTTTCTTTGAATTACTCTCCATTCTAAGATCATATCCTCTATCAAGCTTCGATTGTCTTTGATTGGCTGAGCGGGAGTGTGCATTTCAAAGGTGATTCTAGATTGTAACCCCTTTCAAGTTTGTTGTTCAAACTTCTATCTTTTACTATAGTGTATGGCTGAGGCTAGAAGAAGTGAACGATTATATTAAGTGGCAAATCACAAGCAATTCATCAATGGTGGTCACAAAAGTATCATCCCCTCAGATACGGGATTAAAGGGTTTTGTTAAATCTCACACTCGTGCATCAAGTGGCAAATTTGTAGTCTTGTGGCAAATTTGTAGTCTTGTGGCTTCCAAAGAGATTTCTACCTCCTTAATACTATACAAGAACTAACAATGAAAAGAAACTATGAATCTTGTTTTTACACTAAGCATCAATTGTCTCCGAATTTGAGGGATTGGGGGAGGAAAGAATTTGTACATGATTTTTCCCTTTCATACTCTCATGGAGGTTGCCTTTGTGACCTGAACTTGGAATAAGATTTGGAGTATTTGACATTGATATGAATACTTCACATCAACATCACCATACAGCTGGTACAAACAAGCAGGGTACACAAAGATTAGGGTTTTCAATTCTAATTACCAAAAAAGGGTCAAATTCAGAATCGATATACATAGAATGGAGCATAATCCGATCACATCATAGAATTGCATTAATTTCATAAGATTTTACTCCAAAATATTAGGTAAACTAATCAGTCACTTCGGAACAAGCACTATAATTACGATAAATGATGATAATTCGAGTATCAAATACAGTAATCTCGAAACTGATACAGTTGCAATTGCTTATGAATTTCTAAGGCCATGGAGATGGAGTAGATACACTTAGAAGCAGGATTGGAATCCAACCTCAGATTTATTGTTCAATTCGATGAACAAAACAATGTAATCTGCTCACGGAAACTCCGATCTTTCGGCCTCAAATCCCTCCTCACGTAACCCTTGGCCACTTCCTGACTATACGACTCAAACCCCTCCCGTCCGCTCCTCCGCCACATGTCCTCCGCAAAACTCCGATGCGCATAATACGCCTCAGCATCTACCGCCATTCGACGGCCACCGTCTCCAGCATCACATATCTCCGGGCAAACGGTAATCGGAAGCCTCTCGTAATGTCCAAGGGTAATGCCTTCAAGTACATCAAGGCGTTGCAGGCCAGAATCGGAAACGGAGTAAAGCTCGCCACGGACACGGTGGCCGCCGGTCCCAGGGAAGTTGAGGAGAAAAGGTACGCCATGGGGACCACGGACAAGCGGGAGCTGGAGGTCGGTGACGTAATTGCCCATGAAAACGGCGTCCTTTCGAGAGATTAAATCTTCCATTAAGGGGTGATTAGCAAATCCACGTTTGAGAGTTCCGTAAGAGAAGATTAGGGTTTGTTTGGATGCATCGACGGTGTTGCCGGATATCGTCATCACGTTTTCCGGCGACTCGAGAAAGCCCCAATGGCCAATGGGATGCCGTACAAAGAAGGAAATGACCGGAGGCCGTACTTCCGGTGGCGTGAGATTGTGTATGTGGTTGCCGTCTCTTTTTGTCTGGCTCAGGACTTGTAACGCTTATCTAACATTTCTCCGTTACATCTTTAAAATAAAAATATCCTAGAATTACATTTTTCGTCCCTGTGGTTTGTTAATATTCCTGTTTTTATCCCTGTGGTTTAGAAGTTGTCCGAAATAAGAAGCACACATTGTTGAACAAGCTCATTCAAGTGGGGCCTTCTTTTCGTTTTCGCACTATTACAACGCTTATTCCCTAGATACCGTCATTGTTTCTTCTTCGGGAAAAGAAGTCATTCTGTTTGCTGCATTTCACTCAAAGGGTTGAAGAGAGATGGTACAGATTTCGTCCCTCTAGTTTGCAATTTATTGCTATTTTTGTCCTTGAAATAATTTCTACATTTAAGTATAAGGGAGTGAAGGGACCAAAATAGTAAAGAACTCTAAACCACAAGGACCAAAATGAAAATAAATTGTAAAACATAAGGATGAAAATGATAAGAAATTACAAACCATAGGAACAGAAACCATAGTTTCTGAACCATAGGGATGAAAATCGTAATTTTAACAAACCACATGGACAAAAAACATAATTTACTCTAAAAAAAAATAAAAATCTATAAAAGAAAATTAAAGAGTAAATTACAATTTTAATGTATTTGATTTACTGATTTTCTTCGATTAAATCTTTATAGTTTTTTACTGTAAATTTGTCTACAGTCATACGTATTTTTGTTTTGGTACCTCCAAGTAATACCATTAAAAAACCAAAAGTATTGTGGTCATATTAATTTTTTCATTAAGGGACCGTTTACCAAACACTTACATGATAAGTGATTACCGGTAAAATTTAACACTATTATTTAATTACAAGGTAAATTTTAGTCAATCAAAACGATATCGTATGCGACAATTCACCCGGTAAGCGCTTACCCTGGTAAGAGTCGTCGGATTCACATACCGGGTAAGACTCATGGTCCTTGTCTCGCTCTTACCGGGTAAGATTCTTAATTTTTAACATATTTATCTAGTGAGATAATTTGACTTAGTAAACATGTTTAATTATTTTTTATAAAATTTTATTAATGAAGCTCATGGTTATTAGGTACACAACAGAAAGAAATCGAACGTAAACCCCTGTTGATAGAATTTTACTTAGGTGGCAATCATCGAACACAATCGTAACATATTTCTCTCCGTAAATGGTTTTCGACGTTTGTTGATGATACACATATCATGGTTTATTGATTCTCTGAGGTTTTAACGTTGTGTCATAACAAAAATATTCCTTTTTTGAAATGTGTAACTGATATTATGGTAATAACAGTTTTATAAAAAAAAATATAAGAGATCCAAATTGTGTTAATATTAAGAGGTAATAGAATGACTTAAAGTTTAAAATCACATAAATAAACATTACATTTAACATGTTATATATGTTTCTAAAATAACTGTATGATTTATATGAAATTAGCTGTGCGTTCGTGTAATACAGCGGGATATAAAACTCAAATAAACATAAGGATGAAGTTGTGTGACATTTCTAAGGACAACGATGCTTAAATTGGTTGTGCGACAGTGTGAGAATACTGATTATTGTGGATAAACAAAACTTGCATTCAACATTATTGTCCGTCAATATCAAAATAGAAAAATGTCGGATATTAATTATTGGGGGATGTTGGGTGTGAGAAGAGGGTTGTACCTACCTTTTTCGCTCTCATTTGGTCATGAAAGTTGGGCATTGAGACCAAGAATTAGGCCTGTTTATCGGTTGACAACCATTGGATGTGATGGGAACCGAACAGATCCAATCATCCATTGGATGTTGGATTTTGCCAACAGATCCGATCCGATTAACATTGGATAACCGAACCAATCCAAACCAATGAATGATCGGATCAGATCGGTTCGGTTCCATCCATTGGATCCATCCAGTGTGTTAATTCAATACAATTCACTAACAATGATACAAATTAATTAATCACTTTTAATATGTGTTAAAACCAGCACAAGGGAGGTTAAAAATTCAAAGCCTCATATAAAACAATTTTCGATTTAAGCAGTTTGAAAATAAATTAATTGGATGATAGTTGGATAATGGTTTGATCGACAACTTGATGGTCATCGGATGTTGATCGATTCGGTTCGGTTTTGGTCGGTTCTAAACTGCCATCCGAGAACCGATCAATCCAAATTGGATGTTGAAAATTTTAATCCGATTCGATCCAATTATGATCGGTGATCAGTTCTAATTGGATCAGTCGGTTCCAATTGAATCGGTTAATTTTCTACACACCCCTGACCAAAACCATCCATGCGGGTAATCTTGGAGGAACATGAACATGTGTAAAATATCTTGATGGTGGGGTTAATTCCAAATTCTTCAATCCTCCTGAGGAGCCGTTTACCGAACGCTTATTCGGGTAAGCGCTTACCAGGTCACATTACCTCACTGGATGAATATGGTAAAGACCAAGAATCTTATCCGGTAAGAGCGAGACAAGGACCAAGAGTCGTCGAGTCTTACCCGGTAAGTGAGGGCGACGACTCTTACCAAGGTAAGCACTTACCGGGTAAATTGTTGCATGCAATGTCGTTTTGGTGGTCTAAAATCGTACCCAATATGTAAATAACAGTGTTAAATTTTATTGGTAAGCACTTACCGGGTAAGTATTTGGTAAACGACCCATTAAAAACTTACAAAGAAGACAAGGAAATTATTACCAACCTAATCAAAGTTTCCTTGCAAATTTAATAGAAGCTCTCTAGATGGACAACCTAGATTTGTACAAAATTTTCACATTTATAAATTAGTAATACACAGATCTATAAAAATAAGGCAAGAAAAATCGAGAAGCTGTAAAAATCTATAAGAACAAATCTTTAACATGGATTGCAGGAGCAAACAAGAAAAATCTAAGCTGTAAAAATAAAGAAAAACATCAACTATCAGTGTACATATTTATTTCCCTTTGTTCAGATATCCAGATCGAACACGAGGCATGGATGTGTTATCATCGTTATGTTCGATCCTTAGTTTCTCGATTCTGAAATATACTGATAAAACATATATCAATATCCTAAACTGATCATCTGAGCATGCATGCATTTCCCCGGTACTATTCAATTGAGGAGCACGGGGATATCACTCTCGTCATACAAGATGAATAAATACTATCTTGGTCCATGCTAATACTACTAAATGATAAGCAATACACCTAACAACCATTTTGTCACCTGATTACAAAATCCTTAGAATTAATTATCAAAGTACACCACTCACATAAAGCGAACTCCATGATCTCATGTCAAATGACTAACTGTACAATGACCATACGAGAAACATTTATGACTCTCATATGAATCCTATATATACTATTTGTACTGTACAAATTCAATCTAACCCAAAGTAATACTTGACTTGGGATATTTTAAAATACATTATTCTAAGTTTATTATTACGTTCAGATATAACACGGAATAATCCATAAACATAATTGAGCAATGTCTTTCAATAATAAATATCATGGCACAATGTCCAAACAGAATCATCCAATAATTGACTTTTGTGCATATACAGTTATACACTAACACTTTTAACCACCAATCAGGCACCATCCTTGTGGTTATCTCCAAGGAAATTTATATTCATTTCAACAACTTCTTCATTTTGAAGATCACAATATAAAATATTATTTCTCTCTGTTATACATTTAATTCAAAAATTCTCATTGGTAGGAAAAATAAAAAATAAATTCTCTTTAATAAGTAATTATTTTTGAAAAATTCTCTAAATTTGAAGAATTTCAACTTCTCTACTACTTTCTTCATTTTGTAGAAGGTTTTGTTTGAATCTGTTATAGTAAATAATTCTTAAAATCTTCATTTTGAAGAATCTGTTGAAAATACTCTTACAAATACTGATCAGGATCAAGTTTTTACTTATATAATATTATTTATTAATTTTTAAATTGAAACTATGAAAAAAAATCCACATCATTATATTTAAAAAATTGTAAAATATAAATATTTTTTTAAAATGTTAACTAAAATTATATATTTTACTTTTTTTTAAAATAATGACATGATTTTTTTTTTCATAGTTGGTATTTAAGAAATTAATAAATATTGTCATATGACATAGAAATCTTGATTTTTTAGCTGGTATTTGTAAATTATTGTTAATTTATGAGGATAATAAAAATTATGGTAAAAAGAGTGAGAAATGATCTTTATCCTTAAATCCATCATTATTGAAGAAAAATATCAGATTGGGCTCAAGTTCGGGTCCATAAGCAGTGACAATTGCCCTATGAAGACTCGCTTGATTTGAAACTCACCGTCAACACCTCGTTGTAGGTTCGGGATCTTTTAAGGGTGGCTGCTTCTAGGCAAACTTCCTGGCTGTCTCTGCACCCCTACCTCTTTTATCACTGAGCGGTCATTTAGGGGGAGTCTAATTCATGGATTGGTTTGAGATAAAAAAAATAATCAAGAGTTCAAATCATTTCTTACACTTTGCACAATAAGGGGTCGTTTACTAAACATTTACCCGAAAAGTGTTTACCGGGTAATTTTCCTTACCGGATGAACATAGTCAAAAACCTTGCCCGGTAAGAACAATGATAAAGATGAAGAGTATTACTCGGTAAGTGGAGATAACGACTCTTACTCGGGTAAGTGCTTATCGGGTAAATTGTTGCATATGATACCATTTTGATGTACTACAATCTTACTCGGTAAAATAAATTATAATGTTGACTCCTAACACTAAACACTTACCCGGTAAACATTTAGGTAAACGACCAACTTTTATTCTGTAGATCAATACTTAAAAAATTAATATTTTATTTTTTAAATATTAAAATAATATTTTAAAAAAAAATACGTTACATCAAATATGAAATTAATAGTAAATTAAGTTATTTTTTTATATAATTTGCCATGTAAACAAGTATGGGCTTGGGTAAAGAAAGAGTCAACGGCACGTGTGAAATAGTCATAGGGTCATCGGTGGTGTGCCGTGGG